GACCCTGCTGTTGTTGTAATGTTGTACGCCTTGTCGTGCGTAATGGTCACTACTGCCGTTACTGTCATCGCTAATTTTCTCGAAAACCTGAGGACGACAGCCAAAATTGTGTGACGACCAGCCAGATTGGAAATATCCGCCTCCACTGCTGCCACCGTCACTCAGTCTGAGTACATTGTCCTGCTGCTGGCGGTGTTGCTGCCGCTGCAGCTCGCTGTTCACCTGCATTCTCTGTCGGTGGATCATCTCCTTCTCCTGTCTGATCAAGTCTTCCAGCGCTTTGCAAGACTCCGAGAACGGGTCGAACCCTGAACGAAAACATGTCGTCATTTCACTGTACAACGTGAAAAATTAAAACCCTGCTGCTACTATACCCAAGTCGTCATCGCTTCTACTGAAGCCGAAAGCTTCTTGCCAGTCGATTTTACGAAAGTCTGTGGCGCAAGGAGCCAGGTACCGATGTTCGTCGCCTAAAATGCTGAGAACAATGGAAGACACAGCAAAGAGTACAAGTGTTAAAAACAATAGAAAACTGTCATCAAAAATAACAGGCATCGCGACACATACAAGTAATCCAAAGCACTGAAAATAAGGACGATTCCCTGTTTACTCTATTGGCTGATACCATCGCCAGAGAAAATGTAACTTAGGTACTTAAACTAATCGGTCTCATACACTATTTTACATCCCTATTTGGACTTCTAGGTCTGCTTGACCAGATAAGTTCTTTACATCGCTAAACCTCTGGGCGTTGAGGAAGGAGCGAGTTGTCGAAGATGCGTTGCATGAGAAAACCGCCAGATGACGAAACTTGCTTTTGGTACAGATCACTAATACATCGAAATATGCGGACACCAGGTAAACTACACACATGGCTTGAAATTTTGAAATGCGTCTCTCCTATGAAATGAGATCATGCGCTTTGTTCATATCAGCACTATTTAAAAAGTGAACGTCAAGCCGCCGTCGATCAGCAAATGATAACGCAAATCTATATGATGGCACACCCCGTCGAGACAGCTTCATTTTCATTGGCACCAAACTTATACAAAATCTAAAAAGAACATGGGGTGTTGCGGTATTTCAGAACATCTTTAGTAGTAGTGTATAAAAATATTTTAAGCAAGATCATCCGATTCAGCAGTTACAGACGCAGAAATCCATTGCCAAAGATCTTAAATCTAAAAAGATTTCGAAATATCACATGGTTCATTGTTGGGGGAGTTGGCAATCAAGTGTAAACAAGAAAATTTAAGTCACGCAAAATTAAACGTTACAGAAATTAAATTTAAAATACCAACAGGAATAAAATTTACAGTAAGCTCTAGTACGGACTAATTCAATATCTTGTCTGTAGAAAACTATTAACACCACCGTTACATTTTCTGCGCTGTTTAGCCGAGAGAGCATATGCTTTAGTTAACCATTCTAGTAAAGTCTATTTTTATTGTCAGTCGAAACATTGGCTGCATTAAATCCAATACTGCAATCCAAAGCATAAGCCACATTTCACGTCTAGTATGTAATGTTTCCATTTGCGACATGAGATGAAGCACTGCTCTGTGGTGCGGATGATAAACCGCCTGAGAAGAGGTGTCTGTGTCAGAGCCCGTCAAGAAAATTATCGAGCGGGCCAAGACTCAAGCAGTCGTCACCTGGAATCACCATTCAGCATGGATGATTGGCAAATGGAAGGCCTGTCCAAGTAGCCGGCCCCCCTCCCAGCGTGGGTAGTAGCCAAAACCCTTTACCAAGAATGAATTACATGGAAAGTACGACAAAAAATTTCTGCCAGTCTCTTGCCTGCGGCGGATGACATTGCGCAACTGAACGCATGACCGATTAAATACATCAGTGACGGGTCGGTAGCAAAAGAGTGGCAAAGGCAGAATTGGAAGACCTCGGCTCAGATGGAACGATCAGCTAAGCGAGATATGGAAGCTTGTAATAACAAATCGCATTAGGCAAATCGATCATTGGTATCGAGACTAAGCAACGCTGATCCTCGCTAATCACGAACAAAGATCAGTAAATTGTTGTTATTATTTGCCATGTAGCGGCATATTCCTGATTCCACTAAATTGTTGTCCTGACGAAAACAATAATGGTCTGGCGTCTGAAACTGACTAAAAATCAAGGCTTCTGAATGCGAATCCTCTATGTGCATATAACCACTGAATCGGAAGTTATTGTTCTACAACACTTCTCATTTATTTAATTGATCTTGAATGGATATCTTTACCAGTACTTTGCATATACAGTTGTATGATGAGGGGAAAATGAACCAAATTTCCAAAACAACTTTATCCTGTACGACCTCTGCTACTTGAAATAAGAAACTGGGATGATGTGCTCTATACTATGCCCCGTACCTTCTGACTGTAGCAGCTTTTGGTGTTGAACGCCCAAAAGCTGCGTGCTGATTTCATCACTGTCGCCGAACTCCGGCGTAAGTCCGGCTGACGTTTTGCAGTCCGTCGCATCCGGTTTTGCTTGACCTTTGCTGAACGGTCGCTTAGGGCAGAAGCAAAACGTGTCATCCTGAGAAAACAATGAATGGCCACCGCCGCCAATGGCAGCAACCGAACTTTGAAACATCGGCCGAGACCAATTTGTTCTACCATCAGCCAACAGCCGTTGATCGCTAACTTTTTCGCTGTTCTTCTGCTTGCCTGCCGACGAATAGTGAGGGTCGTTGTCGTCGCCTTCTTTGTATTTGTGCTCCATGACCATGGTTAGCAATGAATCGCCGTTGGTACTGTTCAAACTGCCCTGATTGGACGACGAGGAAGACAGTGAAGATGGAGAACCCCCGCTGGAGGTCTCGATGGCATGGGTCTCCTGTGTCGATCTTCTATTACATGAGCGCAATGAGGGCTCGGCCAAGTTTTCCCTAAAATCAGTGTTTATAATGCAACCTGGTTTCGGAACACAAGAGAACTATAGGAATAAACAATTATTAAAATGAACACAAAAAAACAATCAACTACAATATGCAAAACTCGAACTAATGTATGAACGATGAATAAAATATTCACTAAAACAGCAATTATTGATTTATTTCAAACTAAACAATAATGAAAACAGAAGATAAAAGAGAATTAATCAGTAAAGAGAGCAGATGAGACAAAAACATGACCTGTCAGATTATCTGATTGACTGTTCAATGTCTACAAGCCATCGAACTACAGACTAACCAGATCAAGGTTCTCATCATCATTCGTTCATTCGTATATTGTCTGCTATAGACTTCAGGAGCAACGCATCAATTTTTTTAAATAATCCCAGTAAGCATTATCGTTTGGATTCCAAGACGTTAATTAAGATCTAAAAGTTTCTGCAATCAAGCTATGTGGTGCTCGGTTTGGTCTAAGGTTGTGGCTTTGCCAAGAGAATCTGACTTGTGAGTTCTTCTTCTGGTACTCTGATTATATAGCAAAACCACTGTAACTGTGACTTGTCGACCTTCAGAAGAAACTAACTACCAAAGATATCGCAAGGTGCGATATTCCGGACTTGTCAAGTTTCATCAAGCGAACAATATTTTGAAGAAACCTTCATCTTTGGTGCTTTCAACCTGGATCGTGCTCTTT